TCACGTGGATTAATCTCTCCAAGGTCGACCAATCAGAGGTTATCACGTTGATTAATCTCTTTAAGCTCGATCAATCAGAGGTTATCACGTCGATTAATCTCTTTAAGCTACCAATCAGAGGCTATCACGTCGATAAATCTCTTCAAGCTCGATCAATCAGAGGCTATCACGTTGAGAGATCTATTCAGAATTCATTCAACCTGGGGAAGTTACATCGAGATTCGACAAATCTCTCCAAGAAAGCTATAATCAAGAGCAGTTTGTTTCGTGGCTCAAGACATTGGGGCAGGCCACCTCATATCATATTGTGGCACGAATCTTCTGGTCTTCTATTTGACCTAGATCTTCCTAGAGACCCTCCAGACAGGGGAATTCCTCATCCATACTTGCAAAGTTGCTCAAGCCAATTATGTTGCACGAGACCACTACAATCAGCTAAAAGCATCATAACGGTCACCCTGACCTAGCCAGCACACGAAGCTGCCTTCATCTGCTACAGACAACTTCAGGTCTGATTCCCCAAGTGAATTCAGAAAGTTTAGAACCGTCTTTTGACTCAGCACGCGCAAGTGCATCCTCAGTGGAGTTAAACAAGAACATCCCCAGTAAAGCTAAACCGGGGCATTCGCAGAGCCAAACTGGGGCATTCGCAGAGCCAAACCGGGGCATTCGTAGAGCCAGACCGGGGCATTCGCAGAGCAAAACCGGGGCACTCGTAAGTGTCCATGCCTATCTCTTATCCCCAAGTGATTCAAGAGATAATTCCCTAGCGGGCGTAAAACTTGGGACATGTATTCAGAGAGATCCACATGGTGTTCAATATCCATTATCCGGCATATTCACTTCTATCACGCCCTCAACAGTTCAGGATGTACGGAGGTTTGGGCAGGTTATCTCTTCCCAACGGTATGATTCAGAATCCAGCAGTGTACCTAAAGACTCGCTTCATCAGCAATTCAGTCTTCAGCAAAGTCATCAACAATCTTCGGTATCATGGGCTCCCTAGTGCAAATTTTTATCGGTACCCCCATCAATCTTTGGTACTGCATACTTCCAGCGTCGATATATACTGACATCCCAAGTGATGAGCAATGGCTCCCAGCAAGCCTTCTTTTATCCCCATGAAGTTTATTTCTTCGCATTGCATATAGTTATCATTACATAACATTGCATCCTCAAAAGCGCGTAGCTGATCCATCAGAGTGGATCTTTGCATCAAAAGAAATTCAAACATGCATACAAAGCATAAGCTAGACCAGGTACCTTACACGAAAGACCTGAATTATTCAAGGACAACAATACATCCCTACAGAAGGGTATCATGCCCGAAATCCCCAGTCGGTGACCTTCACCTTTTCAATGCCAAACAAAATCAATACACTTTTCCGTTCTAAACCCAGTTCTTGTCTGGTAGTCGGTTCCCTAAACATTCGTCCGTGTCTATTCCTAAACACCCGTCCGTGTCCATCCCTAAACACTTGTCTGTGTCCATTCCTAAGCACTCTTATGTGTCAAGTTTCCTAAACACCCACCCGGGTCAGTTATTCAAACACTCGTCCGTGTTTAACCTTTTGATACTTTCCTGTATCTTTTTTTCAATACTCGTCTGTATTGAATCAAATACTCGTCCGTGTTTAAACTTTTGATACTTGCCTGTACCTTCTTTCAATACTCGTCCGTATTGAATCAAACTCTCGTCCGTGTTTAACCTTTTGATACTCGTCTGTATCTCCTTTCAATACTCGTCCGTATTGAATCAAACACTCGTCCGTGTTTACCTTTTGATACTTGCCTGTATCTTCTTTCATTACTCGTCCGTATTGAATGAAACACTCGTCCGTGTTTAACCTTTTGATACTCGTCTGTATCTCCTTTCAATACTCGTCTGTATTGATTCAAACACTCGTCCGTGTTTAAACTTTTGGATACTCGTCCGTATCTCCTTTCAATACTCGTCCGTATTGATTCAAACACTCGTCCGTGTTTAACCTTTGATACTCGTCCGTATCTTCTTTCAATACTCGTCCGTATTGATTCAAACACTCGTCCGTGTTTAACCTTTTGATACTCTTTTGTATCTCCTTTTAATACTCGTCTGTATTGATTCAAACACTCGTCTGTGTTTAACTTTTCTTGATGCTCGTCCGTGTCGCTTATCTAAACAATCATCATGTCATAACCCATGTTCCCTTCTTCGAACCTGAGATCGCCTCTTGGCTAGGTTCTTCCTTCGAATCGTCGTCGAACCTGAGATCGCCTCTTGCCTAGGTTCCTTCTTCAAACCATCGTCGAACCTGAGATCGCCTCTTGGCTAGGTTCTTCCTTCAAATCATCGTCGAACCTGAGATCGCCTCTTGGCTAGGTTCTTCCTTCGAATCGTCGTCGAACCTGAGATCGCCTCTTGGCTAGGTTCTTCCTTCAAATCATTGTCGAACCTGAGATCGCCTCTTGGCTAGGTTCTTCCTTCAAATCATCGTCGAACCTGAGATCGCCTCTTGGCTAGGTTCTTCCTTCAAATCATCGTCGAACCTGAGATCGCCTCTTGGCTAGGTTCTTCCTTCAAATCATCGTCGAACCTGAGATCGCCTTTGGCTAGGTTCTTCCTTCAAATCATCGTCGAACCTGAGATCGCCTCTTGGCTAGGTTCTTCCTTCAAATCATCGTCGAACCTGAGATCGCCTCTTGGCTAGGTTCTTCCTTCAAATCATCGTCGAACCTGAGATCGCCTCTTGGCAAGGTTCCTCCTTCAAATCATCGTCGAACCTGAGATCGCCTCTTGGCTAGGTTCTTTCCATTTACTTTGTCTTAGAACCTGAGATCGCCCTTTGGCTAGGTTCTCTGTCAAATCACTCTCATGTGTCACCTTAGGATCATAGGTCGCCCGTAGACCCCGTCCGCTGTCTTTTCATACCAACCATTTGTCTTGTATTGGCATCAAGCCACGTTACAAGTCCAGTCTCTGTCTCTTCATTGAAAAAATAAATTTCTTTTCCCCAGCATAACACAAAAAAATAAAGAAAACACTTATACTTTCTCCCAGGACAAATTTTCGGCATTGGTATTTAATCATCTTCCGCCTTGAACTTCCGAAAGGCACGCGCCAATCGTACTTTCAGGTTTAAGACGATTAAATAGGGGCAGCTGTAATACCCTAAATTTGTCCTACCCTTTTACTTCCTATCTGGCTTACGCATTTTTGCACATATATAATTTCCATTAGGTCATCTAACACATCATGCATCATTAATGAATAAATTGGCATAAGATCATGGATCTCGAGGAATAAGGGTTGGTGTATGGCTTTAAGGCTCCCATCTTCACACAAGCTTGTTTCGGTTGATTTCTCCATTAATAATTTGTTTGAAGCTAGGTTTTCATTTCATGGACCTTATCATCATCAAGCTACGAGGCTATTCTTTTCTTCTCAATGTCAAGTTGCAAGGTTTTATGAGACGAAGCTAAAAATCAGGGTTTATACATTTTCATACTTGAGCTTGTCAGCATTCTACCTGAGGTTCATTCCATATCAAGGTATTCACATGTCTCATCTTTCATATTCATCTGCAAAGAATCCCTCAGGGCATAGTCATTATCATCTATTGAGAAGGAGTCCAAGACGTCGTTATTCTAGTGCTCATATAGTCGGGACATGGTACAAGATGTTGATTGTGATCAAGGTGTCATTATTTCAAATGCTTGTTGCTTGACACACAAGTTTGGTTTATACTAAGGAATTGAATTGAATTAGGGATTCATTGAGTTTGTAATTTGATCGAAACTCGTTCATTAAGATTTGGAGAGGATTTGGAGTGAATAAAAGTTCTTAAATATTTGTGTGGGATTTCTTAGAATAAAAAGGCATGTATCAAACTCATTTGTTTCATCCAACAATCAAAAGTGTCATCCAAACAGTCATTCAAGAACTCATTAAAGATTCAAGTCTCTTCGTGATTACCTTGCAAAAATATTTTGGATCCATACAATGATTATTTAAATTCATACAAAATCCATTTCATTATGTGGAAATAAAGTATGGATCTTTTTGTCATGGCAAGCTTCAAACTTGAAGTTCCGTTTGAAATGTTATTCAAGTATCGATAAAATCTTATCCAAATTCATTCAAAGTGCAATTAGAGTATGGAAGCATCATTCATTTATCATCCATCAAAATTAGGGATCTATTCCCATTTCTTCCATCAATGTTTGTTCCAGGGACTTAAGCTAAGTATTCAAAATAGCGTGGATACTAGGTGGAAATCATTTGAAAAGAAATAAAATGGGTAGAAAGGTTCATGCTTTGGTGTTTGGAAATTCGCTTCTTTCATTCTACTCTATCTTTGGTGAAACGGAAACTGCAAGGTTTCTGTTTGATAAAATGCCTGTGAGGGACTTAACTTCTTGGAACACTGATATCTGGGTATGTTAAGAATAATCAATCAGGGAATACTTTGGTGGTTTTTGATAGAATGAGAAGATGTATGGTGTTATTGGAGATGGGATTACTTTGCTTGCTATTTTTTTCTGTTTGAATAACTCAAACTCGAGGGTGGACTGAGTGAAGTCTCGGTTTTTGCAGATTCTGTCATTCAATTATAGGATTCAACAACTGAGTTAGTTATAAGATGAATTGTTTGGGCCATCATAAGTATAAGATTAAGAATTTAATTTAACTTCATATGACCCAATATAACATTTAAGTGATATGGTTTCAGAAGTATACACTCTTATTTGAGTATATTTTTTTCACTTTTATGGATATAGTGATATTGATGTGTTTATAAGCAGATAGCTCAGTGTTTCGATAAAACACAGTTTATTAATCTCACATATAGGAAAGCACACAAAAAAATACACACAAGAAGAAATGTTTAGATGTCTAAACATTGCTTCATTATTCAAATATTATTTGCGTAGCACATGTAGGAGCATTATGAAAATCCCAAGCAGTAGATATTATTTACGGCTGGTGCCATGACCATTCTTCCTGTCAAATTGGGAAGTTAGCCATCAGCTTTCAAGTCTGTTTCTGAATCCCAAGGGAACGGCTGGATTGGCTTAGTTGCCTCAAGAAGAACATCAACAGGAATATTTGGTTCTGATCGCTTTAATGGTGGTATGCCATGATTGTAGTCTTGAGGATCTTCACGGTAATCCTACAATTTGAAGGGAAAGGTTTCAGAGGCAGCAAAGTGATTATTAAACTTAAGACAAAGTTCTAAACATGACAATATGAATTTGGTCCTAAAACATAAGAATTCTAAGTTTCTATACTTATGAACTTCATGCTTTTGGTTGCAAAAACCAAACTTCAAGCTTCCATAACATCTCAAAGTAATCTCCATGCTTGATGCCCTTATGTCTTGAATTTCATCACCATGTTTTATTCGCATCACCCATGACACAACTTGTTGTTAAAACCATCTTCAATATACCTTTTCATTCACCATGCCAAGCTGCACCACTGAACCTGCACCACACACATTCATTATCATGATCATAAAATCTAAAAATATAGCATAAAACTAACATGTTCATGCACACATCAAGTCACCCTGTTGTTTCAAGAATACCATGACATCACATCTGCTTGCTAACCTCACTCCACCTTCAATTTATTTTCATAACCGAAAATAACTGATACTAAGAGAAATCCATCTCGGTAATTCACTTCATTAACTTTCCTAACATGTTTTTTCTAATCTCTCCTTAACCATAACAAACTAACAGTAATTCCTAACAGTCCTTTTCTAACTCATTCCTAGTTATAATCCAAAACCATATCTCAATTAACCAAAACCAATTCCATAACCAGAAAATAGAAACAGTCCTGTAACTAACTTAACCAACCCAAAACAGTTACAGCATAACTAACATTCAGTAACCAAATGCATAACAAACTCATCCCTAACCAACTAACAGTCCAACAAACCCCTAACCAATTTTCCCAACAAACTCTGCAGAAAATATATAAATAGAGTACACAGCATATGCAAAAGGAGATTGACAGAATAGGGAGATATGATTTCAACACAGAAAAAAGAAATTATTACCTCTCAATCATCTCATTCTGGAACTTGCAGAAGAATCACATCCAAAAAACTACAGAAATTTTATCTTCTTCTCTCATCTTCATCTTCATCTTCATCTTCTAAAACTCCACGGTAAATTCTCTCATATCCATCCCTGTAACCGAACTGCAATACTTGAACCATCATTATCATCACCCTTGCACCTTCAAACTTCGTAAGAATGACACCTATACCTTCATTCTGCATCATCTTCTTGAATTCAAAAAACTGCAAATCAGAACATCAACAATCATCAACACCCGATATCTTTATCAATTAACCTCTATCATCCTTTTACCACAAACCCATACCAGCCACAGCAACGCAAAGAAAATTCAAAAAAAAAATTGAATTAGAAGAAAGAGAATTCGCAGAAACATCAAAAGAAGGTTAAAGAAAAGGGATAAATCATTCACCTGAGTTCATATCGTTGTGGCTTGCTATCTTCACCTACACGAGTTCCACCGTGAGATCCCAACCGAAGTGAAATCAGAACCGAAGCTGATGAAGTAGAATGAAGCATACGGTTGAGGACGGAGACGGACAAAGTATGGGACGGAGCATTGCGTCTGAGCGATAGGCCGAGCAGCGAACATACGAAGAAGAAGTAAGAAAACGAAGAGAATCGGAGAAGGAGGGTCGGTCTTGACTTGTGGCGGCACCGTTGATGAAGGAAGAAGAAGACGATGGTGAGATAGCCGCGCCGTTCGAGCACCGTTGATGAAGGAAGAAGAGGCATACCTTAACCCTAATCCCTTTTCTTTTTTCACATATCTTTTCTTTTTAGTTTTAATTGTCTTATTGTTTTATTATTTTTAATTCAAATTGATAATAATTATGACTAAGTAAATGTGAATTGGATTCATTATGTTGGGCCTCTAAGCAATCCACACGTTGCACCTCTCTAAGGTCTAATACCGTATATGTTTGGCGATTTAAAGCTAGTACAACAAAAAGACCACTCTCCTGGCCCATTGCATCATTTTGTAAAGCATCAACTTGTGGACAAAACTCTTGATTGGACTCTGGTTGTTTTGTCCTCTATGCCATTCTTCTACAGCACCCCCCGAATTCAACTTGTACCCCCTCGATCCTTCTAATTTTTCTTTCTTTTTATTTTAGTTTTTTCTTTTAGTTTAATTTTTCTCTCTCAATTGATAATAAAAATAATAGAATATTTTAGAATTCTTTAGAATTTCTTTTTAGAATTTCGATTAGAATTTTTTCTATTTTATTTTTCATATTCGATAATCATTTTTATTGCCATTTTCTAGTCAAGATTTTTGTAGCATCGACATAACTCTTGCAATGTGGAATGCTCGGGGTGAATTCTTCAATCACTTGCCCAAGGGAACTTTGATAGAATTTTCTTACCGCTTGCACAATTTTGAAGAGACAACAGACCTTCTCCGTTCGGTATCGACACAACCCTATTTTATCCTTCATTTCGGTACTTTATCACAATCCATATGCATGCTAACATTATGTAGAATTCCCTCAAAATTCTAACTTTAGGTCTAACGACGCACGATAACATCAGGTGTAGAAATAGGCTAATTCCCCTTTAATTTTTCTTTCCCTTTTGCATTCGCATTTAAAACAAAAACTTCTTTTTCTTTTCAAAAATTCAAAACACTTTAAAATTATTGATGAGAATCATGCTTTTTCTTAGTACGGGAAATGATAAGCCGGTCTCTTCTCGATCTTATTGTTCTTCATCTCAAGCATAGGTGTGGTTCAATTCTCAAAGACTCCTTTCATGGCTAAGTAGAAAAATGGCTAATATCTCTCTCTTGAGGTCAATCAGTCATCATCTACAACAAAAATACAAAACAAATTCGAACCTTTTTTGTGCGTTCAAGCACCTTTCATAAAAAAACGCTTTTCAGGTAAGGACACGATTAATTTACTTCTGTACCAACGCATAAGTCTCCAAAGGTCGAGCTGCGGCAGAAGGCGGAATTAACTTCGTCCACAAAAAACATCTACAACAAAATATAAACCAACTCAAATCTTTTGTGCGCTCGAGCACCTTTTCTTTTAAACCCTTTTCAGGTAAGGACATGATTAATTTACTTCTATGCCAACGCATAAGTCTCCAAAGGTCAAGCTGCGGCAGAAGGCGGAATTAACTTCGTCCATAAAAAACACAAAACAAACAAAAAAATATGAGCCGAACTACGGTAGCTCTGATTCCTCAAAACGGATACGTAGGCATTGGGGTAGGGCCCAAGCGAGCACAATTTTATTTTCCCTACATTCTTTTTCCCCTTTCTTTTGCATGCATTCCTTCCAGTAGCAGTAATAAATAGTAAGCATAGATTAAACACACCCATAAGATAGATAACAAGAGTGGATACCATAGAGTACTACGGGCGCGTGGGATGCTGATAACTTCCCCTCGCGTAACAGACTCCCTTACCCGATCTCTCGGTCGCAAGACCGTGACTTCTCCCTTCTCAGGTTTTCTCGATGTTTACCTTTCCCTACATGTGGGATAAAAGATGTTCGATGGCGACTTCATTGTTTGATGATTTTCAGCCGGTTGTTTCACAAGTTGAGTAGACGACCATGTCTCTCGGTGAATGGAGAGTTTTCTGGAATCCTTGAAGCTAGCTCCTTAAGCTGTGGAGGGATTCTCACAAGTTTGACTTGAATAGTTTTCCTGCGAAGTGAATCCATATCCTACAAAACAAGAACAAAGATGAATCTCAAAATCCTTGAAATGGTTAGTGGATGTATATGATGTTCATGATGTCCATGATGTTATGTACAAGTAATGCATATACAAGCAAAGCAAACAAGTCCTTAGGTTTAGTCTTGCATGGAGTTTTATAGGTAAGTACCCTCTTGAAGTTTAGTTGGCTCAAACTTGTCCTAGTAATAGTAACCGGGTTCTAAGGAGCTCAATATCACTGGATTGTTTCCTTGGTCATTATTTCAGCTCAAGCCCCTTTAATGACAACCAAAATATCCCAAGAAACCAAACCTCAATGAGTTTAGTATCGAGTATCTACCAACTTCGGACTGCACCAAAGCCGATCATCTCACTACATCCTAAAGGCCAAGTTGGTCAAGTAAAGGTTCTAGAAGTTCATTAGTGCTTCATGACATCACTCAGCGGCCCTGTATTCTCTTTGATTAACTCAAAGGCTACCGATATCCACAAATATGTTGCACTAACGAAGCTATTGCTTAGACCTTGTCGGTATACCCCACACAGTTTCCACAATGTATTGCTACTTACCTATAATGTATCCCCAAATCCGGGTAGAGGATTCAAACCCAAACAAAGAACCATAATGTAAAGCATACAAGTTAAACAATGTAATCAAGTAAATATGATCTAAACCCTAAGGTAACCCCTCTTTTAGAATTTTCCCCAGCAGAGTCGCCAGTTCTGTAATGCGGTGGGAGAACTGACTTGATTGTTTTGCGTTTGATTGCAAATGTTGTGGTTAGCAAGAGTCACCACCTACTTTTCTTTTATCCAAAAAGGAAAGGTGAAAAGGCACAGGAAAGACCTTTAACATTGTTTCTTGAGTTCGGGGGGTAAATTATGAAAAGGGAAGGTATTAGCACCCTTTTCATCCATGGTTTTACATGGGCTCTTAGTTACTTGCTAGATCACTTGCTTTTGTTTGAAATTGTGCTTTGTGTGATTTTGAAAGTATTTAGTAAAATAGGTCATTGTTTTAGGCAATCTTTGTAAAGATTCTCGTTCTTAAGAATGTATACAAAGACGTTGATCTTTTTTGAAAATGTTTTCAATGTTTGTAAGATGTTTGAAAATGTGTAGGTGTTTGTTTTTGAAAATAGCAAGGATATTTGTTTTGAAATGGAGCAATTAACTAAAAGTAATCTACCTACACAAATGTCTTTCTTGTTCATTTTCTTTTTCCTTGATATTGTTGTCTTACCATTGATTTGGTAAGCAACTCTATCTTTGGATGTAACCGGGACGGGCGTGGATCATCGCATAGCCATGATTAGCAATGTTGCAAGGTATCTTAGAATTTTTGAGGGACTAATATCATTTTTTTATGGCAACATTGAATAGCTTCATCGAGGGACTATGATCTTGTATTTGTTTGTTTTGACTAAGACACCTTACATGCGTAATATGGCCATTTTTGTAAGCCAGCCAAATGGGATAACCCTAGGGGTGTTTTGTGTGCAAGTGTGTCATTTTCATGCTTGATTTAGGGTTTTCTATTTTATTGGTTTTATCTTGCCATACAAACCCTAATTACTAGCATGTTATGTAAAAGCGATAAATTGTGAAATTTAAAGATTACTACGCTATTACAACACTTGTGGGAGGGGGTATACAATTTATGAATGGGGATTTGCAATAATATAAACCTAATTAAGCTATTACAACCAAATTGAATATGTACAAATGTTGGAATAAATAATATCCAAGATGAATTAAATATGCAAAGATATGTAAATGCAAAGGAGATTTTTGTTTGGTTTTTATGTGAAAAGGGTCTTAACCTAAACCTAATAAATAAATCAAGATTAATCTTATATCAATTAAGAAAAGAAATTATTTTTTAGAAATGATTTTTGAATAAACCCTAATTCTATTTGATTAAAAGAAAATAAATTTCTTTAAGAAAGAGTAATTTTTTTTGTATTTTTTTTGTCTTGAAAATAATACATGGTATTATGAGGTATTTTTGGTCCTTTTTTTTATATTAAAATAAATATTTAATGAGTGTGAAGAAAAAATAAATATTAAGCTAAATCTAATTTAGTATACAAAGTTATTTAATGAAAATAGATAATACATAACTAAATAAAAAATATTTTTTGTGAGAAAAATAAAATAAAATAAGCTAAAATATAAATCTATCATTTTTATATTTTTTATGATTTTGAATATTAAGAAAAATATATTTAAGAAAATAAAATGAAAACAAAATAAATAAATAAAATTATATGGGTCAGTGGTGTCATAAGCAATCAGGAGGTGAGTGTTAGAAAAAATCACAAAGCCCAAAGTTCAGAGGCCCACGCTGCAAAGGGACAAAAAATGGCAAAAAATGTGAGAAAATGCAAAAGGCAGGCGCTAAGGCTCGAACCCGTGACCTATAGAATTTTTGCGCGGTGCCTTACCACTAGGGTGGTTGTACATCCATTTATAGAAAACGCCCCCTGAAGGCAACTTCATCTTCAACCTTGAGCCATGGCCAGACCACCTGTATCTCTCTCATTTCTCCATAAAAATGGAAAGTTCAAACATGAAAGTTATGGTGTTTCTTTCCACGAGTTCAACCATATAATTTATGTAAACTAAAAGTCAAAGATCAAATCTAATTTTACTTTCCCTAATTTGAAACCTAATTTTTACAGAAATTTCAAATAAAAAATTCTCTATACGTAGTTAATATAAATGAAAACTATGAACATGGTTAGCTTTAATGCAAGGATATCTACATTTTTCTTTCACAAATCAGGACCAAATGATGCTTGTATGAAGAGATAGAAGTTTGAGTTTTTACCTCTTTCAGTTGA